AGTTCTGCAACTTCCCAGCTGACTGACCTCCAGCAGGTCCTGCAGCCCCTTCTGAGGGCCAGTTTCCTCAACTCTGAAAGTTCCCCTTCTACACTCGTATGTGCTCGGCGGTGGCAGGAAGGGCCCTCCAGCACCAGAGCGTGCGCTCTGCATGTGTGTTGTTGTGGGACTGAGTGGTGGGCTAAGGATTTGGGGTGGGTCTGTTTGGATGGTGTGTGTGCACAGTAACCTATTGCTACCTCCAATATTTGCCCTAATCCAATGCCCAGACCCCAGCCAGGTGGGAAGCAGTGTCTGTGGGGACAGCCGGGCAGGACAGATGACGACCAAGAGAGAAATCAAGCCGGAGGTGAGATAGCACATGTGGGCCGATAGAAATGTCCCCTGGGGTCTGAGAGTGCCTCCAGCCATGGCCTTTCTGTGGTTCCCTCTGAGCTGTCCCGCTCTTGGCCCAACAACAAGTGGGGTTTCCTCTGTGGGCTCAAGACCTCACCGACAGGGAGCCCGAGTCCAGAGGTTGGACTCTCTCCAGAAGTGACCAGAGGTGACAGTCAGTCTGTGTGCGGAGTCACAGCGCTCCTGCTTCTCTCCAGCATTGTGGGGCAGGCGGGCCTGGCCCGGCCCTGACAGCTGGCTCTCCCAGGCCCCGCTCCAGCAGGGGACCTTGCGACAGCTGGCTTGAGTCTGGTGTCTGTGTCTCATCCCAGTCTGGGACTTCTAAATTTAACCTGCTATCAGCTTGAGAGGCGGGAGGGCTTCCACTGTGACTAAATGCCACTTGGAACCCTCTTCACTCATGGCCACCCTCCTGGCGCATTCCCCTCTGGAACGTTCCCCACCCCCCCAGTGCGCGCCACCGTCTGCGCGCCGTCAGCCGCGTCGGCCGGAAGGCCCAAATGGCTGAGCAACCCTGGCTTTGTCCCGCCGCTGGCTAGACCGGCACCCCTGTTGTCCACACGTGCACGTGTGCACACACACACACGCACGCAGGCACGCACACACACGCCATGCTCTCTCACAGGCAGAGCTTGGGAGCCGACACCACAACCGAAAGCCAAACCACCACAGTGAACTGTACCACCCATAAGCCATCTGGGTGGAGGGCGGCCAGCAGAGCCTGTTATGCAATTTCCTGCTTTGGTGTCTCAGACCCAGGAGACAGGATGCAGAATGCCGTTGGGTTGTTGCAATGTGGAAAACCCAGAGAAGAAAACCAGTCCCCGATGCCCACAGTGAACGGGGTCCCTTGTCCTCCGTGGCAATGCCAAGAGGCTGCCGGCACCCCTGGAGGATGAGCCCGTGGTCTGCAGCCAACCGGGCAGCCCTCCCACCAAAGGGAACAGACTGGACTCACTGTGGGTATCAGAGGACTGACGGCTGCACAAAACCTTCCGGGGGCGGCGGGGGGGTCGGGGGAGCGGGGAGAAAGGCATTTCCTGCCCGGGAGCCCAGGATGGATGGAGCAAAGGCACAGGGCCTTCTTAACAGTCACTGATATTTATTGAGCACCAAACGTATGCTCTGTAGCAATACGCCAGGATTGAGGGTATGCAGTGGTAAGGGTTTGGGCTCCAGGGCCAGGGTTCAAACTCTGATTGACTCTGCCTCTTCCCAGATGCATGGCCTTGAGCAGCTTCTCGACTTCTGCTGTCCTTCACTTTCCTCATCTGTGAAATGGGGACCCTAAGAACACCCGGGTTGTTAACACCTGGAAACCAAGTAGACCAGCGTGTGTTCACCACATCAGCTAGGAGGCAACGACTCGGAGAATCCCGACTTTCCATACAAGGTAAAGGGGGCTCAGAGGGGCTCAGTGTCTTACCCAAACTCATGCAAGTTGCCTTGACTCCATGGTCCACCTTCAGAGCCCACACCCACCTCCCATCCTTTCATAAGAAAGTTCTAATTAGAAGAAAGCATTTACAACGAGGGACATGACTCCACGCCACCCCCTTTCGTCGGCAGCTGACCCAAGGGCAGGGCACAGAGCCATGTTCTGGACTGACACCGTCCCAGCAGCCTCTCTGCCCTCCTGGCTTCACACGTTTCTCCGTGTGAAGACAGGCTTGCAGGCCCGTGGGCATCTGAACACTAACTCCCCATCACGTGGGTTTCTACTGTTTGCCAAAAAACCAAGCTGCCCCCAAGTCCTGCCTCCACACGGGGCACCAGCTGGGGCACTCCGGGCAGGGACTTGAGGTCCCAGGGCTGCAGACAGCAGAGGATGTGTGAACAAAGTGGCCCACCTCCAAGTATGCTCACTCCCGTGGCCAGAACACCATCGACCCCGAAATGAACCACCACTTCAGAAACACTTCAGAAACATCCAGATCCTAGCCAGGCCTACTTTAAAATTACATTTTATTTCTCTTTGTGAATATTTGTTGGTTCGTTTTTAAAAAGGTGAATTTTACATGTTCTTCAAGAGTCTCGTGCCTCCTGGTAAGTGCATTGGTTTGTTTTCACAGTACTCTCCACGACCACGAATGGTCCTTATTGCTGGAGGAGTGTGTCCACACCAGGGGAGGGGGACACCAGAGGGATTGGGGACCCAGGTGAGAAGCCTGGGGTCTGTGCTCCTGACAGGGAGGCGGCCCAGGGACCAGACCCAAGTGAAGCCCAGTGTCCTTGGCCGGACCTGTGGCCTCTCCAGGGTCTTCCCAGCCCCGTCTTCAGAAAGGCCAGGAGGGACAGAGAGAAAGGGGGGTCGGAGGGGCAGGGTGAGTCAGGGAGCAAGGCGAGCTGGGGCCCAGATGTGCGGCAGGCTGGGGGAGGCCGCCAGAGCAGGTTCGCTCCCTCCCAGTGGGCACAGTGCTGGTTCCTGGCAAGAGAACTTGCTCACACTCAGCAGGTGCATGTTTGGGGGACTCTGCCCCCAACAGCTCAGGACCACTCCTTATTGTCCTCTCCTGCTCCTACCCCATGGCACAGTGAGCATCCCTTAGTGATGACCCAGCCCAGAACCCGAACTCCAGCCTCCTGACCCCTCGCCCAGGGCCCTTCCTCTTTTTTTTAGTGCAAGAAAGACCTGAGTGCAGAGAAGGGCCGCTCCGTTAGGAGGCCAGGTCCTGTCCACGGCAGCAGGACGCCGTCAGCCTGGCCCCTCCCTGGCCCTTCCCCAGAGGTAGAGCTGGGACCCATCGTCCCCCTCACTCGAGGCTCTCTGGCCTCTCGGGGTGACAGGGTCTCCGTACACACCAAGGGGAACAGGCAGTTTCCAGGGGGAAGGTCCTGGGCCTGACAAAGCGGTTCCCCAAGCAGCACGCAAGTGTTGGTACCACAGGCATGTTCCGGTCCAGTTGTCCCAGGATAGCTGAGGGCCCGCTGTCAGGAGCGGGGCGTGGGTGACAGACAGGACATTAAGCACCCCTGGAGTAAGTACAAGAGCAAGGTGACCCACATCCTCCCACGCTGTCACTGGGACTCCTAACAAGTGGCTCATCTGCAGCAGAAAGGAATTTTCTTTTCTGATGGTTTTCTGTGCTTGGGTATTATTAGTTTGAGTGCAGGGCCAAGTGAAGTAGCTGTGGGGGTTGGCAAGCTTGAGAAAGGGGGCTTCCGTGGGGTGTCCCCCATAGCTCCTGCCAGCAGCCTTCAAGGCAGACATTACTAAGTAAAGCTTGGGGTCGCTCAGGACCATCCTTGGGCTCTGGAGGGCCCTGGACCTGAGGCATAGTGGCCCTCCAGACTGGCCACACTGTCCCGACCAGCCTCCAGAGCGGCCCCAATGCCTGTCAACCATGGCCCCATGTCACCCCCACCAGCCAGAGGCCCTGGTTTGCTTCCTTGAGGATAAGCAGCAGGGGGCATCTGCTGATGGCCTCCCCGGCCTCCCCAGATCCAGGACCGCCTATCCTTGGGTGCCCCCCTGGCAGCTTGCCCCCACCTCCAACACTGGTGCCCAGAGCTGTCTGCAGCTTCTCCCAGAGCGCCTGGCACAGGGTAGGGGGGCATCTCCTGAGAAGGAGCCAGGAGGGAGGTTGCCTGCCTCTCTTACCTTGGAACTAAATCTGGCTCAAGGTGGCTGGCCCTCCAGGCTTTTGGGGCCAGTGTGGACAGAAAAGGAAAAGACGCACAATAGTGAGATGTCCCTGTGGAGCCATCTGTGGCTGGGTGCTGAGGACTGAGATGGCAAGAATCCGAGAATCCCGGGGCTCAGCCCTCCCTCTCTCCTCCCAGATCCGCCCCAGGCAAGTTAAGGCTGCCAGAAGAGAGAGGAGAGAAGCGGCCCCAGCAGATCCACCCCGTGGGAGCGCATAGGTACCTTCTCCGCACGTTTGGGGAAGAGGGGCTTCCACCGAGCCTGAGAGAAGGAGCTCTTTAGGTGGTCGGTCTGGTTTCTGGTTTCGTTTCTGCTGAAACGAAAGAATGAGCAGCTGGTTTTAGGTCTAAATCTGTCCCCTGCCCCTCTCTCAAGACTGCCAGGAGGAGGGCTCAGGTGCCCCTCTCTCCTCCCTGGCCCTGCCCCCTCCCTCACCTCTAGCAGAAGATGAACAGTCGGGTAGAAAAGAGATCCTGCTTTCTTTGTCTGTTTTGGGCTTTTTCCTTTAAATTCAGCTTAAGGCAAAAGTTTGGCAAAGCGAGTCTACATAAGGCCGCGTGAGGGAGGACGAGGGGAGCTGCCATGGGGGGCCGCCACTCACAAATCAGCAGCAGCTGCCGGTCAGGGTCATAACCAGCCCCGCCTCCTCCCGCCCAGAACCTCTTAAAGAGGTGTTTAAAAAAAAAGAAGAAGAAGAAGAAGAAGAAGAAGAAGAACTGAAAAAGCAGTTGTTTCAGGGAGTCTTGCAAGTGAATGACTGGAATTGCCAGAAAAGGAGACCCAAGGTGAAGGGGGGATGGGGGGTTGGGTGTCCCGGCCGGGCCTCCCCCTCCCCGAAAGGAAGCAGGTGCCAAGAGGGCTGGGGGAGGCCATCCCGGGGCATTTGCACAGTGAGATCCGCCCGCTCGAGAAGGTAGAGTGGTTGTATTTTGCTGAATGACTGAAGAGTCCGTGTGGGTGTTGTTGGAGCAGTGTTATTATTTGAGTCTAGCCTAGCAGGGCACCCTGGCTGTTACCGGTGCTTGGGTGGGATCACCACCAGCGGCTGCCCGTACTTGGGCCGCCACATGAGGACCTGAGCGTCGTTGGCATTGGGCTTGACCAGGGCGCTGGGCGGTATCGGCTCATTCTTGCTCAGGATTTTGGGCTGGTCCTGGGCGATGGGCTCCCGCAGCCTGGCGCGCTGGCCCAGGGGCCGGTTGGGGTTCACCTCGATGCTGAGCTGCATCCGCCAGTGCAGCGTCTGCAAAATGATCATGTCATTGGTCGAGGTGTTGGTGGCCACCAGCCACGTGGTGAAGCTCTGGTCCCGGTAGATGTTGGTCAGCTTGGCCACGTTGCTCTCACTGACGGGTACGGCCCACGTGACGCTGGGATAGAAGTTGTCGTTCATGCTGATGATGAACTTGGAGTCTCTCTTGGTGGGACCCACAATAGTGCACGTCTCTGTGGTGTTGCCATACCAGGGGTAGTTCACCCCGTCTGAGTCACTGATGGCCTCGATCTTGCCCTCCTGGAGGTCCGGGAGCTCCCAGCTGGACCTGAGGACAGGAAGGCCAGTTTACTCAATCAGCCACCCACGAGGCTGCATTCCACCCCCCCTCCGGGGGTGGGTAGGGGCAGACAATACACAGACATCCACCGTCCCATCTGGGTTCCCCCAGACACAGCCCCCTTCAAAGCCACATCCTGTTCTCCGGCATCATCTCAAATCAGTCATCACTACTGTTAGTATAGTAATAGCTCTCGGACAGAAGAGGACACCAGCCTGTCTCCCATGTGGCTGGGGGCACAGCGGCATCCAGGGAGCACCCCCTCCTTGGACACTCATCAACAATCATGTCCATCCCCACCAGACAGATAAAGACAGTGAAGCCGGGGCCAGGGGAGCTTTTCCAGGCAGCCTGACTTCATCCAGTGCTGTTTCCCCCTGAGCGCCTGTAATACCAAAGCTCAGGACGCTCTGCACCCAGAATTCCCACAACAGCGTAAGCCAGCAGTACCCTCCAGGCTATAGTACCTTACAGGATGCACTCCTGTTCACAGCAGCATCATTCACAATGGCCAAAACATGGAAGAAACCCACGTGTCCATCGGCGGGAGAATCAATAAACAAAATGCGGTCTAGCCACACAATGGGAATATTATTCAGCCTTAAAAAGGAAGGAAATGTTGCAATATACTACAACATGGATAAACCCTGAAGACATCATGCTGAGTAAAATAAGTCAGACACAAAAGGATAAATGCTATATGATTCCACGTATAGGAGGTCCCCAGTGCAGTCAAATTCATAGAAACAGAAAGTGGAACAGTGATTGCTGGGGGAGGGGGGAGATGGGGAGTCAGTGTTTCACGGGTGCAGAGTCCCAGGCAGAGAAGATGGAAAAGTTCTGGAAACAGATGCACAATGATGTGGATGTACTTAATGCCACTGAACTCAAAAATGGTAAAAATGGTCAATTTCGTTAGGCGTATCTTATCACTATAAAAAGATGCACTCCTCTACCCAAATGCATCATTTGATGTCAGCAGTTAGCAAATTTGGGGGCACTCTGGGAGGGATGACTAGGAAGGCGACGCTGCTATTTTTCCTGTTTATTTCCTTTCTGTTCTGTGTTTATTCCATTGAAAAAGTCACAAATTAGGGTAACACCTGCCTACTAGGCCACCTCCTGCCTGGGGCCCTGTGCTCATCAAAGTCCCAGGGAACTGGGGCAACAGCTCAGACGACCTCCCATTTCTGAGGCCACCAGTCCCCGAGAGCCACCAGGCCACAGCAGCCACGGGTGGGTGGTAGCAGGCATGAGCCTGCTGATTTGGCTCCCCTCGCGGGTGGGTACTGTGGGCCAGAGAAGGAGTTTAGGGTCCCCGTCCTGGATTTATTAGAAGCCCGTGCCTTTGCCTCATCTGTGCCCAGGCGCCCGGAAGGCACCCACTCTGTCCTCTCACAGTGGCTATACCCACTTGCAAAAGGTTTTTTTCCAAAGGCAGAAAATAGGGCACCTGCGTGGCTCAGTCAGTTAAGTATCTGACTCTTGACCTCAGGTTAGGTCTTGATCTCAGGGTCATGTGTTCAAGCCCCAAGTTGGGCTCCACGTGGAGCCTACTTAAAAATAATAATAATAATAATAGTAATAATAATAAAAAGGCAGAAAGTAAATTTGCAAAAGGAACTTTGCTCTTCCATGCCCCCCTTTTCACTGCCTAAGAGCCGGCTTGTTTTGAGGTAATGGAACTCAGCACCAGAATGGCCCCTCTCTCCCAGCTTCAGGTTTGCTCCCCTCCCCCAGCCCCCAAATGCCTGAGCCTTGGCTCAGTCACAGACAGGTGACGGTCCCCATGAGCTGGCAGACAGCCGTGTCTCATGTGGGATATTACTCAGAACCAGGTCCCAGGGCATCTGCCTTCAAATCATCACAGGCCAGCACTACCTCTGCTCCCTGGGATCCAGTCCCTGCCCCTCCCCCTGGTCAAGGAGGTGGGAAGGAACCCGGGTAAGGGCACGACTTCCAGGGGACACAGACCAGCCTGGATCCAGCCCCAGTCCAGCTACTGATTGAGTCACAAATCTCCAATCCTCTGTTTTCTCATCAGTTAACTGTGGATGATTCTACCCACCTCGCAAGGTTTTTGTGACGATTAAATTCGTTAATATAAATGGCAATACCTGGAAGCTCCCGGAAACCATCTGAGGGAGGCATTTAGAGGTATGCCAGCCCTGGCTGACCTGAAGCTTTTTTGACCCCAGTTACAGTTTTTGGACGATACATGCTCAGAAGGGAGTGGATTGCATACAGTCACTGCCTCCTCTTAAGATTCCCTGTTTGCTCTGGAATGACCTTGGACTTCAAGGCAGACCCTCAGTCCTTTGCTCCACGGCATGGAGGGCTGAGCTCGGACCCAAGCCCTGCACATACTGAAACTTCTCCTTTCTGCACGACAGAGATACTATAGGTAGGCTCTGGTACACAGAGGCCACTGCAAGGGGTGAGCTAGCCTCCCAGGACTGCGCATGGACACAAGTGCTTGGCCAATGGGTCAGTTGGGAGTAGAGGCATTTTGTGGGTAAGTGCAGACGCGTCTGTGTCCACCTTCGCACATGCGAGCAGAAGACACTGGTCTCCCTTGTGTCTACCCCCTTGAGGTGTTCACTGGCTTCTGCCGGTCTTCAGGGCATGACCAGCTAAAGAACTTGTGGGACCCAGGGCAAAGCAAAAACTCAAGATCACCTGTTCAAAAATGAAGAATTTCAACATGGCAACAGCAGAGCACTGAACCATGTGAGAGGCCCTCCAGAGCGTGGGCCCAGTGCGACCCTGCCGTCTGCACACCGAGGAAACCGCCCTGCTGCCACGGGCCGCCTGTCACACTCCTGCCCTTGTCCTCTTAAGTGTGAGAATCCAAAGGACAGCAGGCCGGTCCAGGCTCGAAGCTGGACTTCAGAATGCTCTGGGATCCCCTCGCATCACGTCTGCATCAGACCCCTCAGCCTCCCTCAGACCCCTTTTCCTGCGGCAGTCCCCATCCGTCATCCACTCACCAAACATTTGCGGAGCACCCAACATCAGTGTTTGCAGAGCACCTGCACCCTCTGGGCACCTGGCACCATCCTTGACTCTCCTTTTCACCTCTAGATGCCCCCCTTCTCTTTGCCTTCACCCTGGCCAGGACCTCTGCCCAGGTCTCCCACCCTCTACTCCTGCCTCCTTCAATATTCCCCAGAAGCCCAAGTGATCTTTTAAAAACACAAATCTGTTTCCACCATCCCTGCCTCCAACCCTGTTAAACCTGCCATGACTCCTCGTGGCCCTTAAAGCCGACGCAATCGAAGCTCGGGACCCCTCATGCTGGGGTGCACACACATACACACCCTCCCCAGGCTCCAGACCCACTAGTCACTCTCAGTTCCTCTAATGGGCCATGCCCCTCCTCTTCCTGTGCTAGCCAGGGCTACTCATGCCTCAGCTCCGGATCCCCCCAGGGAAGCCCACCCTGACCCTACCCCGCATCCGACGCCACTCCGTCCTCCTGCTGCTGCTTCCTGGCACATGCACATGGCTGATTAAATAATCATGGCATCGTTTGCTGATGATCTCTAGAGGGCAGGAGCCGGGCCTCCAGGATCTGCCCTGGTGCCGGGCCTGGCCTGGAATCAGGCAAAATGAGTGTTGGCGGCCTGGATCAGTGACAGTGGGCAGCCTGCCCAGTCTCTCCTTCAGGGCCTGGGCCCCATAAGGGGGTCTCCTTAATGAGGTTAGAGCGCCCCAAGCTGCTCCTGTTTGTGCACTGTCTCACCTAGAGCCAGTGCCCCTGAAACAGCCCCTCCCAGCACATGGCGACCCCACGACAACACCAGTAACAGCAGTCATTCCCCAAGCACATCGGGTGTGCCGGGTACCCCGTGTATACACGTCTGCGCAGTGCTTCTCCTCAACTACCCTGGGGCCAAGACTGGGGCACATTTGATGGCAGAGGCATGGAGACAGGAGAGGCCTAGCTCAAAGTGACTCAACCACAAGGCCACCGGGCCAGGACCCACAGCTGCCAACAGACCCTCACTCAACACGTGCACATACAGGCGTACACACGTATGCAGGCATATACGCACACGCGTACACACACACAGGCTTGCCCAACACATGCACACACGCGCATGGGCATTCACACACAAGCTCTGAGCACCATGACTGACTGAGAATGTAAGTCTGCAGGGGTTATAGAAAGGCCTTCCGTGGGGCCTCCTGCGTGGCTCAGTTAAGCATCTGACCCTTGGTTTCAGCTCAGGTCATGATCTCAGGGTCCTGGGATCAAGCCCCGTGTCAGGCTCTGCGCTCAGCAGGGAGTCTGCTTGGGATTCTCTCTACCTCTCCCTTTGCTCCCCTCCACCCCTCATGTATGCGTTTTCTCTCTCTCTCTCTCAAATAAATAAATCTTTAAAAAAAGGAAGGAAGGAAGGAAGGAAGGAAGGAAGTAAAAGCAAAGCCTTCCCTTGAGACTGAGGAGGGGTGGAGGCTGTGCTGAGGGGCAACCACGGGGGCTGGGAAGCATCACCCAGGACTGGCCCAGGGCCAAGCCCTCTCAGTGGAAGGTGAACGAACCCCGGGCTGCCCAGGGCAGCACCTTGGGAGGGAAGGTGGACCTGCTCCTTGTGTGACCTTGGAAGACAGAAGCCCAACCCTCCCCGTGGCTCTAGGAAGAGCCCTGGTCTGTGCCGGGCAGGGGCGGTGAGCCTGGGCCTGGGTTCTCTCCCCAGCATGGATGGCCCCTTGCACCCCTGGGGCTCCCTGCCTCTCCTAGGGCTCTGATTGCATTTTGAGTTCTGGACCCCAGAGCCGGACTGGCTCAGCCCACCGAGCCTCAGAGCAGAGTTTCCAAGCTTTACCTCTCTGTTCATTTCGATCCTGTCTACGTATCTCCTGTATTATTATTCACTTAAATTTTTTTCTTAAAATCAATCACTTTTTATTTTTTTTAAAGACTTCATTTATTTTTTGACAGAGAGAGAGAGAGACAGCAAGAGAGGGAACACAAGCAGGGG